ATGAACAGTCGCTCATAGGTAGTCAGTAGAGCATCTCCCAGTGAGGCTCTCAGTGCCAACAGACGATCCCAGCGTTGCGCCAAGGCGTCCTCTGCTCGTCGCTCATCCGTGTCTGGGTTCTGTCGTTTCGGTAGCCGCGAATGCTTCTGGAAAAATGTGTCTGTGGCTTTACAAACTGCTACGTGAGACTCTTCCTGCTTCAGCAAGTGCAAAAGTTTCAGCCGTCTCAATTTAGAATAGATTGCCCGACTCTGGGATAAGTCAGACAGCTGCGACGGTATTTCTCCGTGTACTCGTATGAACTCATCCAACTCTGCGCGGGCACTCTCTGCTTTCTCGACATCCGATTTCTTCTTTGGAGGAAATATTGGAAATAGATATGAAGAAAATAGGAGGATATACAAAACAGGAGACTGCCACGTCAGCTTCCAAGAATGCGATACACATCCGATCAGCAAGAGTGTGTAAATTCGACAGCTTCGGAGGGTCTCTGCGTGCAATCCCATGCACCAGGCGCAGCAAAAACATACACCCAACAACGCCTTAGTTTCGCTGGAGTATGCATGACAGACTAGTGATCGACCACGTGGGTTAATGTAAAACAATATTGTTACTCTAACGCACTACCATGACATGAAGAACGCTGCAACATAACAGGTAGCTATGACGCGCGTCAAATAATTGATCTTAAGTCTAGGCTCCATCATGTCACCCATGTCTGAGAATCCAATGCAATGATAAGGAAATAGTTGCGCGAACTCCACCAGCAACACCTTTGGCCGCGGTAGCAAGGTCCCGTGTTGCAGCTCCACGCATCGCAGTGTGCTAGGTATCAATATCATACCAAGGATCGCCCACCAGGTCGTCATAGGTAGAAGAATAGTCCAGCAACACCCTAGCATCAGTAGCACATGTAGTAAGGTCAACTTCACTCGCCACGAACCCTTCCTTCTTTTGTCATCTGCCCACAACGTCCGAGGTCGTGTGTACGCACGTCCTCTTCGCGACATCGCGCTCCCCTACACCGGTGACACCACCACCAAGGTCAGGGATATGCTCTCTGCGCACTCTACGTGATATTATTTGGGTTGCCAACGTTTTCTATTTCAAACGCGTCCAAAATGCAACCGTCTTTTGATTCATGCGTGGTGTCTCTTTCTAGTGTGATGCTTCGTGCGGGGAAGCAAAAACGCTTCATCTAGTGCTCACCAGAAACCACAACGCTCTGTATTCGCATCATTGCTGGTACTTACATGTCGTGAAATCACATCTGCTTGAGCACTTGAACTTTCGACTAGCGTCCGCGCCCGACGTGACCATGTCGATCACTCGCCTGCTAGTGCTATCCTGACTCTTGCAAACAGCTCTGCCATCATAACAATACTTCCGCGTGCCTTGTCTTGCATGTCTAGTCTCACTCATGCCGTCAAACTGGATACTCTTGTCGGATACTCTTGTAGGACACTCTTGTGGGACACTCTTGTGGGGCACTCTTGTGGGACACTCTTGTAGGAAGCTCTTGTGGGACACTCTTGTAGGGCACTCTTGTGGGACACTCTTGTGGGACACTCTTGTGGGACACTCTTAAGGGACACTCTTGTGAGACACTCTTGCGGGACACTGTTGCGGGACACTCTTGTGGGACACTCTTGTAGGAAACTCTTGTGGGACACTCCTGTAGGACATTCTTGTGGGATACTCTTGTGGGACACTTTTGTGGGACACTCTTGTAGGAAACTCTTGTGGGACACTCTGGTAGGACACTCTTGTGGGACACTGTTGCGGGACACTCTTGTGGGACACTCTTAAGGGACACTCTTTTGAGACACTCTTGCGGACACTGTTGCGCGACACTCTTGTGGGACACTCCTGTGGGACACTCATTTGGGACACTCTTGCGGGACACTCTCAAGGGACACTCTTGCGAGACACTCTTGCGGGACACTCTTGCGGGACACTCTTGTGGGGCACTCTTGTGGGACACTCTTGTAGGAAGCTCTTGTGGGACACTCTTGTAGGGCACTCTTGTGGGACACTCTTGTGGGACACTCTTGTAGGAAACTCTTGTGGCATACTCTTGTAGGACACTCTTGTGGGACACTCTTGTAGGACACTCTCGTGGGAAACTCTTGTAGGGAACTCTTGCGGAACACTCTTGTGGGACACTCTTGTAGGAAACTCTGTTGGGACACTCTTGTAGGACACTCTTGTGGGACACTCTTGTAGGGCACTCTTGTGGGACACTCTTGTGGGACACTCTTGTAGGAAACTCTTGTGGGACACTCTTGTAGGACACTCTTGTGGGACACTCTTATAGGACACTCTTGGGGGACACTCTTGTAGGACACTCTTGTGGGACACTCTTGTAGGACACTCTTGTGGGACACTCTTACGGGACACTCTTGTAGGACACTCTTGTGGGTCACTCTTATGGGACACTCTTGTCGGACACTCTTGTGGGACACACTTGTGAGACACTCTTGTGGGACACTCTTGTGGGACACTCTTGTGGGACACTCTTGTGGGACACTCTTGTGGGACACTCTTGCGGGAGACTCTTGCGGGACACCCTTGTAGGAAACTCTTGTGGGACACTCTTGTAGGACACTCTTGTGGGACACTCTTGTAGGACACTCTTGTGGGACACTCCTGTAGGACACTCTTGTGGGACACCCTTGTGGGACACTCTTGTGGCACACTCTTGTAGGAAACTCTTGTGGGACACTCTTGTAGGACACTCTTGTGGGACACTCTTAAAGGACACTCTTGTGGGACACTCTTAAGGGACACTCTTGTGGGACACTCTTGTAGGAAACTCTTGTGGGATACTCTTGTAGGACACTCTTGTGGGACACTCTTGTAGGACACTCTTGTGGGACACTCTTGTAGGGCACTCTTCGTACGAGACTTCCTCCAAAAGTCACACGTCAAGTCTCCAAAACGAGCGTTTCGTACGAGACTTCCTCCAAAAGTCACATGTCAAGTCTCCCAAACGAGCGTTTCGTACGAGACTTCCTCCACAAGTCACGTGTCAAGTCTCCAAAACGAGCGTTTCGTACGAGACTTCCTCCAAAAGTCACATGTCAAAGTCTGCAAAACGAGCATTTCGTACGAGACTTCCTCCAAAAGTCAAGCAGAAACACCCATCGGAGCACACACATCACGCAGCCCTGCCAAGCAGTTTCGCGAGTCCAGCCCCTCCAAACAACACCCGTTCACACGCCAATCCCACTGTGACAGCGACATTCACTTCTACCACAACTCACGACCTCACAATTCCCTGCGCCTGCCACGAATCTTTCTCCATCCACATGTCTAATGCGCACAAAGTACTGCGCCTGCCACGAAATGTCACCTCCGTCACACCTCGCAACCTCACCATTCCCTGCGCCTGCCACGAGAATCGCACTTCCACGCCTCAAAACCCACACAAAGTACTGCGCCTGCCACGAAAAGTGACAATATCATCTCATGTCAGCTTCAACAAAATTTGCACCACACCACACGTTTGGAATGATTTCGACGCGTTCTGAGCACACTCCCATCCACCAAAATCGGCATTTCAGCTGAGACTTGTCACGAAAACAGAGCTTCGATGCCACACCCTGAAACGCAAATCCCAATGGCACGGCCATGTCCAACACCCCAAGAACACGACTCTCCAAACGCTAATCCCAATGGAACTGCGTAGCAACCTGCGGATCTCACAAAACGCTGCGCCTGTGCAGCGAAGTGCATCACGCTTCTTGCGCGACGTGTCATTTTCATGCAAATCACAATGGAATAGCGTCGCAAACTGACACGTGACACATCCATGAAAAGTCACTTGCAAAAGCTTCCCCCAATGGCAGCGCCTTAGCGCTCTACTGCGAACGGTTGCGGACGGTTGCGGACGGTTGCGGACGTAGAAACAACGGATCGCGAACAAGGCTCTACCCCCAGACCCCCAAGAGTTAAACGAGAACCCTTCGCTACGCATTCGGGAAAAAGAACTACATCTAAAAGCTAACAAAACACATGTGGAACTCACAGTTCTTCCTAGAACTTGAAACTGGAGGTTCCAGAAACAAAGCAATGCACCACATCACCGAAACCACCAATTACTTTCAGTAAAACCTGGCCACCGAACTCCTCTGATCGGAGCATGAAGGGCCTCGGCGGCCTCTACATAATCTGAGCGCGAACCGCCACGCTGCACCGTCCATTGGTGGACTCCGGTGTGGTCGAACTTCATGAGGAAAACGTCCGCGCTGCTGATACCCGCATTGGTGTGGCCATCCAGGGAGCTCCTTGTGTCGCCGGCCACTCAGGCGTTTCCGGAGGCATCCACCTGCGCAAGGTCACCATGTGCTTCTGTGCGGAGAAGTAGTCAAGTTAGTCAAGTAGTCATGGAAGAAAGCACAGACCTCATGCGCTACAAAATAAAAAGAACATGAACTTCCACTGAAACAACCTGTGGAGGTCCTTTGCTGACAGCAATATCGACTCTCCCCGGAGACTCTCCCCATATAGATCGTCGACGAACGGCCCGCAAGCTTATTCATGTTTGCCAGAAACGGCCATTCGCTGAAGGGGGTGCAGTCTTCTGCTAGGGTGTAGACATTGCGGGAGGAATTTGCAAGAATTTACCCTCCAATGGCTTGGAACATCTACCCACAGTAATCTCGGAAAACAAGACCGACGTCGTCCGGAACTGCACCTGCAGCGCATGGCCTCTATCATCGCGTGAACCGCCACGTTGCACCGTCCATTGATGCACTGGCTGAGCGCAAAGTGCTGGCAGAATCACCAGGTGCACCAGGGCTGACAGCATGCCCATGGCTGGTTGCAAGGAAAAACACGTCAGCACGCGTCTAGAATAGCACCTTGTCGCACCTTGCGGATGGATGTCGCACCTTGCGGATGGATGCGAACAACTTTGCATAGACCCTTGAGTTCCAAACCCTCCATAACACGCTCTCGCTGAGACTGCACGTATGGGGCGATGCCTCCTTCTTTGTAACTTCAGTGATCAAAACTCAAGACTCGGACTGGAAACACACATTTCACAAGTCTATCTCTCTCGAACATCGTCTCCCCAAAGACCTGTACGTCTTGACGTTAGATGCGCTCGTGTCGTGGCTCCCACAAGGCCGAAAAACTGCAAGAACGGCACACCGCGCGACCTGAAGGATGGCTGGTAGAATCTGGTAGAACGGTTGGTGCCTCAAAAACGTCAAGCTACTATATTCAAGAAAAACGTTTACCATCAGTTTGTCATAAACTATTGGAGATTGAATTCAGGCCACCTGCTGTGGTATGCTGCGGTGACACCTTTTTCAACAACAGGAATTGCTCAAGCACAATTAGCAAAGTTTCAAAGGCACTCCAGCACTACCGCGCTCCAAGACTACCCCCTTCCCTTTGGAGCATCTGATTTTTCTCGAATTGAACGGAACTCCAAAGCTCCGATGTTCTTTGGGAGGTCTTTGAAGTCTTCAAAGGAGTTTTCAGGATCGTCTCGGGGATTGCTGATTGAAATACGCATACAAAGTTGCCTCAAAAATGATTTGTCAATAGTTTCAGCATGTTGCCATGACGTGGCAATACCAGGCTGCGCTGCTTTGACAAATTCCACGCCGGCATCTCCTGATCACTCCACCCGTGTTCCTGGCAACAAAGAACACCACGCGTGCTCTCAGGTGGATCCCTACATCACCCGCCTGACTAACACCATCTAGCACCACTTTATGTGCTATGCAGGTCCACCCAGCATCTCCCGCGGACTACAATGCGGGTGCAAGGGCAGCGCACGCCGCGGCCTGACGCAGAACCGGACGCGGCGTGTGCGGAACGCAGGACACGCGGAATCACCGACCGTGCGTGTGGCTGGCCGTTTTGAACCCGAAGATCCTAACATCTTGACAAACATACGGCACTTGGGGCACTTGGCCCACCTTACTTGTCACCGGGAGAGGTTCTTCTCTACCGGCGTGGAACCACCGATCCGATCCCTCCGATCGCCTCATGGAGTAGCGAGGTCCGGGTGCCTCCTGCTGCAGGTCGTAGCTCCCCGGTCCGGGGCCACCTGAGCGTCGACCGGAGGGCCCGGTCCCGGTGTGCCCAATGGATTGGTGCCCCAGATTTCATCCGTTTGGATGCTTCATAAATGGTTTTTGGGAACCGCTCCATTGACAAATTCAAGCACAGAATTCGCTCATGGCTAAGTAAGTATATCTTTCAGTCATGTGGTTTGTCTGGGATTGAACAGTAGGATACCTATAGCTAGAGAGGTTGAGAGACCTTGTATGACCTTCATTGACCTTCTGGTATGGTGGGACTCTACCCGAGTGCATATGCTATATAGGCCAAGTGGGGTTGGTCAACCTTTGTGCTGTAAGAGTTGTCGCATCCGCCACAAGGGGCCGCTGGAAATTGGTTGGAACTTCTGCAAATGACCTCTAGGGGTAAGTAGATGTGAAACAAGCTTCCAAACTGCCAAATCATAGCCCGATCAGCCCTATTCGGCAGGTGAAAGCCAACAAATGTGATTCCTTGTTTGCTGAATCCTTTTGGGGAAGTCTTTGCAACATGTTTAGTCATACAGCAAGGTCCCTGTATCAGTGGTATCATGGTTTGATTGGTCATCAAATTATTACAGTGAGACCATATGCGACAATCCCCGCATTCAAGTCTAGTCAATCAACTCTTTTACCTGACCACTCTTGAACAGCAGCCGAACCAACGCAACATGTGGCATGATGTTAGCTGTTTCCCAAAGAATAAGTCTGATCACCAATAATCACTTGCAGTTGGTTGAAAGTAGATGGTGGTTTAGTTGGACCCCCCATCTAAAGAACATATTGGGGTTCGTGCCATCTAATCTGAAACCACTCTAAGTGTTTTTAGTCAAGGAGCTAGATGGACGTCGCACGTCGCACGTCGCATCACCCAAGGAAACAAACCGCGGCGCACGTCGCATGTCTCGCTTTTTTCTCCCCTGGACTGTCGTCCCTCTGTAGGACGTCCCCTGAATTGTGAAGAGCTCAACCGGCTGCCCATCAGCCTCGGTCAAATGGATCAGCAAACACCTTCGAGCTCCTTGAAAAGCCACATAGTTCATATCGAAACACTTCAAGGGATTGGAATATACATTGGGAGAATATACATTGGGATCATGTCAAGGGGATCAAGCAAAAATATATTACTTGATGGTGTAAGTGATATATATATAATATACGTATATACGAAGGCTCCAGGCCATAAATGTACTAATTGCATCCACCATGCCAGCTATCAGCTGTGGAATGCCTCGTTAGTTACCGTTAGTTGGTTAGAATGCTACCCATCTCCAGAAATGAACACATACACTCTGACCCACCAAACATGGAAGTGGATGGCTTAGTCCCTTGGACTTTACTTTCATCATCTTTCATCGCACAATCTTTACAAACATCAAGAGTCACACAGGGGCAGTGACTTCGTCCTATCCAGTGAGTGGAGTAGCTGGGCACCCCTATCCTCCAGGTTCGGCACCCCTATCCATGTGACTGCTGGCACTTGCTTTTCCACGGTCATATTGGATTCGGCTATCCCAAACTGACCAGGAGCCTGACCGCGACCGCGAACGTACCGCCATTGGACCGCGAGTTGCACCCCATCCAAGTACACCAAGTACACTTCCGAAAAAGTTTCAAAGAACAATGGTGTTTCATGGTGTTTTGACGCAAATAGCTGGTGGAAACCCCGAAAAAAGTCGATCCCTTCAGAGTAAGATGGTCCAAGTGTGGTCCTTTGGGGTCCCACTGTTTTTGTCTGTTTTCGTCAGTCCCACAGGGGCTGAGATCAGTCGCGAAGACCCACCTTGAGATCGCGGCTGAGAGCCCTTTTGTTGAGGGAGACCGACTGTGCCGTCGTTTCCTCCAAGAGACGTGCCGCCACGGGCTTCTCCATGCGTGTCGTCACCGGTGTCCCGTGAGACAAACGCTGACTCCTTGGGTGTGGAGATAACCCCAATCGGGGCCAATGGAAGTGGACAACTTGCTACAAGATACTACAAGGATCATCCACTTAGGAACGGAGTCAGGATCGTTCGCCAAGCCTTGCCTCTTAGCCCATCTAAGTTTTGACATGTTTTGACCATCATTGGAAAACATAGGTTTAAGATAGTTTAAGGGTTGGGATTGAAGGCTTTCATAAACCAACACGCCACGCGCCTGATTAAAGTATCCTAGCTTTCTTTCTCCAGGCTCACTCGATAGGTGCCATTCCAGGCCATTAGACCTCGACCAAAATCACCACCCTCGGCGGCGGCCTCACACCGGCGCCAGTGGAAGCTGCGGCCCGCGCCTTGGAAAGCGAAGACCCGACCGCATCCAGCATGGGATGATCTGATATGGACTGACTGCCATCATATATATATATATCATATATAGTAGGCATAGATTCTAACATTCCCCCATGATCCCCCATGATCCTAAAAACAATTCTTTGAAGATCCTGCGGTGGGTTTCGTTGTTCGGGAACGCTGCACCTCTTTTCAGAAGGGGAATTCTTTGGTGAACGCCTTCCCTTTAAGATGCTTTAGTGCCATCTTGGTAGACTTCCTTCTCCCATCGTAGAGCCCGGTAGAGCGACGGTCCAAGTCGCTGGACCGGTATAGCTCACGAAGGGCAATGGCGTGGGACTCACCTGAACTGCATCCGAGTCGTCATGACCACACGGATGGTGGAGATGTCCACACGCGACCGACGAAACCCCCCTGGTTGAGTCGAACAACAGTCGTCACGCTGACTTTTTGGCTGAGTCTTGAAAAATCACCACCATAAATGGTTGATTCTATGCCACCCCATTGGGTACGCAGCTATTAATGGAGTGCAGAGCCTCTTGAAATATATAGTGTCAGTAGGGGGGTTTAAGTTTTACTGTAAGTATAATTGAACCGTCTACATGATCATCCAAGAACCAGCCAGAGCCGTATGAGGAGTCAGTTGGGGCCCCCCTGGCGGGTTTGTGTTGAAAACCCGGTGTTTCTTAAAGTTGTGCACTTCGTGTGGCAGGGGTTGCCCACACTCGTGTTTCTTTTGGTAGCAATACAAATGATACCCATACACTCCATGGGACTGCCATATATGCCTACATTGACCCCAAAAAACACCCCACCTGATCGGCATATATGGCAGTCCCATGGAGTGTATGGGATAGACAGTCTCTGCGATGTTCTGCCATGACATGCTTGGAAGACAAACAAACGCTAGGTTTTCCGTTCGGACCGGGTTGGACCCCCAGGGTTGGGAGGCTCGAGCTGGACTCACTTGGAGTGCTCCAAGACACAGAGTAGACCTATATTCACCTTTGTACCGCCTTCCGAGGCTGGATGACTGAGAAATCAAAGGTGAAGTAAACAAACTCGAACTGTCCACCCGTTCTTCTTGGAGTGGGGTGGCCGTGCCACGAGTTCCAAGTCCCTTCTGTGACCTAGAGAATGGATTCCATGCTTATCCACGGACTTCACTCGGTAGACCATTGACCGTTCGGAACCCCCACTTCCCTATCCAAGATATTCTCCACTTCTACCTTTTCCAAGTGGAGATAGCTTCTTTAAGTGGCAAACAACTTCACTTCCATTTCTGGTTATCTGCATAGACCACGACAGGCCATTCCTGGCCGACCACCAGACCACCAGACTCGCGCCGCACCTGTGGCCGGATGGTTTCTTCAGCTTCGCTGGCGCCTCAAGCACATGTAGAAGAACAACGGCCCAAGACGTACTTCTCAACGATAGATAGATAGATAGATACATAGATGGAGATAGAGATAGAGATAGAGATAGAGATACATAGATGGACATAGATGGAGATAGATGGAGATAGATAGATAGATAGATAGGTAGGTAGATAGATGGATAGAGATAGATGG